AGGCGCCGAGCCTTCTCAGTTGATTTTTAAAAGAGATTTTAACTAAGATTAAATAATGTCTGCAGTTGTACAACTTCAGTTTAGGAACTAAATTAATAAGCAAAATTCACTGTTTCTGGTATTAATTTCTAAAAAGGAAATGCAAATGCCTAAACAATTCATACTTTACAAATTTAAACTATATCAGGAATTATTTCGCTCCTAACGCTGATACTTTGTTTCTTCTGTGTATTTTGTTTCTGAATGACACTTACATCCTTATTTCTTTTTAAAGCCAATAAAAGAAGTAGCCAGGTAACCAGCTTTCTCTAAACCAAATTTCAATACTATTGCAGTTTTTTTTACTAGAGACAAAGTCTCACTTGGTCACCCTCAGTAGAGTCCTGTGTAGACTCATAGGAACCTCAAACTCTTGGGCTCAAGCAATCGTCTTCCCTCCGCCTCCCAAGTAGCCGGGACACCAGGTGCCCACCACAAGGCCCAGCTATTTTTTCAGAGACGGGTTCTCACTCTGGCTCAAGCTGGTTGCCAACTCATGAGCTCTCAGGCAATCCACCCATCTCGGCCTCCCAAGTGCTGGGATTATAGGCATGAGCCACTGCACCTGGCCCTTGCAGATTTTTTTTAAATCATTGGTGTGTTTATAAAATATACTCTCAACATACAAAGGAAAAAAACTAATGTAATAATTGTTTAAATACATAAATGACTGAATAAAATATAGCAAAGAGACCAAAAGAATAAGCCTAGAAATGAAACCAATTTACAAATTCAAGATGTTCAGTGAATCCTAGCCAGATAAATACAAAGAAACCACACTTTATGTCGAGAAAAGAGAACCCATGTACACTATTGTGGGAATGTAAATGTGTTCAACCACTATAGAATACTACTAGTTCCTCAAAAAACGAAACACAGAATTATCATATGATTCCACTATCCCACTTACAGGCACTTACCCAAAAGGTATTATTCCACCCAGCTTTCATATCTACATATGTGTTTATATTTTTAAAAAAAAAATTTTTTTTTTTTTGAGGCAGAGTCTCATTTTGTTGCCCTCTGAGCACTATAGCATCATAGCTCACAGCAACCTAAAACTCTTGGGCTCAAGCAATTCTCTTGTTCCCTTACCTCAGCCTCCCAAGTAGCTGGGACTACAGGCATCCACCATAATGCCTGGTTATTTTTAGAGGCAGTGTCTTGCTAGGCTCAGGCTGATCTCGAACCTGTGAGCTCAGGCAATCCACCCACCTCGGCCTCCCAAAGTGCTAGAATTATAGAAATGAGCCACCACACCCAGCCTGTATTTTTTAAGTTCTGACTACACAATATTAAATTTTATTTTAAAGTACTTTTGATAACTGCTTTCTCCTATAACTCATAAATGTTATAATATGCCTGCTTTTATTTTTTCCTATTATCCATTTCCATAAAAGATTCTACCAAAAAGGTTATCATAAATGCATATAAAGAGGAACAAAAAATGTAAATGGCAAAAAACAGGGACACAAACTGTACACTTGTCAAAATCTCTCCTACTTTATACAGTTATGTTCCACAGTCAAAAAGCACAGATTTTGGCTCAGCGCCTATGGCTAAGGCACCAGCCACATACACCTAAGGT